CCCCAAAACCCCAAAACCCCGTTAGACCAGTACGATTAAAATATGTTGGAAATAGATTAATAATTTAAAAATATTAGAATTAATGCAAGACGATAAAAATTTGGACAAGGAGCCTTTTAACGATGAGGCATAATTTTCCATCTAAGATGATGCGAGTGGCAAAGCCGATATAAGCAAAAGCTCAGGCGAATTTACAGAAGAATAGATGATTATTAAAAAGTAAATTTGACTATTTAAATATTTCAGGATAGTGAATCAGATGAAAGATGGTTGTAAACGAGATATCTGTGTAAATGCTTTCTGCAAAAACAATCCTAATTTTAAGGCTCCAGCCTCATCGGCTGAGCTATTGAAGAATGCTTTGGATTTAGGCAAGTAATTGCTTGAAACAAAAAAACATCAATACTGGAATGTGGTTTGTGATCCTGACTATATGCAAGAAATAGCATAATCAATCTAGAGTCATAATGTAGAATCAATCAGAGATTACTCGTTTTTGGTTGAGTTTATCAATTCACCCTATGCTTTCTCAATATCATTTCTAAAAGACAAATCAATTATTGGACTTGATGATCCATTTGGACAAAATAAGTATAAGCTAAACCTTGATGAGGATTTATTAGATAGATTTTTCGATGTTTTAAGGGATATTGAGTAAAAGGAAAGCTAGTAGGAATTTTAGGACGGTGTAACATCCTTAACAGCAATGTATGAGGAGAGCATTCTTAAGTTCAAGGAGCAGTTGCAAATTTATATATCTGAAGAAGATGATTATTAGTCAAGATATCAAATAGTTTTTCCTTTTATTCTTAGAGGCTTACTAATTCATCTACTCTATGATACTTTCGATGATTAAAGAGAAGAATTTCCTGAAATGATCCAGTATTTAGAAGTTTTAATAAACAGTAAAAAAGATATCGCAAACTATTTGGAAAGATATTTGACTTAGTTATCACATAAAAATTTCAAGTTACTGGTAAGAAAAATCTAGCACTTCATATCCGCTATTTTTGATCCAGAAGATCAGCAAAATGATCATTTATGGGAAGCAATCCAAGTCTTGGATATATTCTACAAAGCAAATCAAAAAAGGGATGAAGATGAGAAATTGAGTTTCAAAGAATTCTACAATGAGACTGTGAATTATAATGTGAATCTAAATTCAGAGTATGATGATTGGCTTCAGTAAAAGAGCCAAATGCTAGATCCAGATGAGAGTTATGTCAACATTAGTAACTTCATCAATTTTTCTTGGATTCTTGACACCTAAGCCAAGAGTGATATACTATTCTTCGATAGCAAATACAAGATGGATAATGAGATAGATAGAGAGCTGATTAATAACGTGGTCATCAATCTATTCTAAAACTAGTTAGATCAAAACTTCGCATATCTTTATCTAGAAATAAACAGAGAATCAATCATAGAAGATACTCTGAATTCTCTCATTAGAGAGGATATTAATTTTAAGAAACCCCTAAGAGTGAAATTTATTGGGGAGCCTGGAGTTGATGAAGGGGGTGTTTAGAAGGAATTTTTCTAGTTACTCATAAGAAAGCTATTTGATTCCTAATACACAATGTTCTAATACTATGAAGAGTCAAGACTATTCTGGTTCAATGGAAATACCTTTGAAAGCAATGTTAAATTTGAATTAGTTGGTATTTTAATGGGACTAGCCATCTATAACTCCAATATTCTTGATTTGCACCTTCCAATTGCTTGCTATAAAAAGCTACTTAACATATAGCCAGATCTAGCAGATTTGATGGAACTACAGCCATCTGTTGGACAAAGCTTTCAATACATTCTCAAGTCAGATGATCCAGATCTTGAATCAAAACTCTATCAGAATTTCACAGTCGAGTTAGATAGTTTTGGTGCTAGTTAAGTTCACGAACTATTGCCAGACGGTGCTGAATTCTATGTAAACTAAGAAAACAAAAACGAATATGTCATGCTATTCAATGACTTTTTCTTCAACACTCAGTGTGAAGAATAATTCAAGGCTTTTAAAAGAGGTTTTTACAAGGTAGTTACTGCCGAGATAATAGAGCTATTTGGACCAGAGGAATTAGAACTTTTAGTCTGTGGCTCTAGAACGCTAAACTTTGAAGATCTCTAAAGTTCAGCCTAATATGTAGATGGCTACTCAGAAGATTCAGAGGTTCCAAAGTGGTTTTGGGAAGTAGTTCATAATGATCTCACTGACTTTCAAAGGAAGCAGCTTCTGTAATTCATAACAGGATGCGATAGAGCTCCGGTAAGCGGGTTAAAATCTCTTCCAATTTATATTGGTAGACAAGGACCAGACACAGATAGACTTCCTACAGCCCACACATGCTTCAATCATATTCTAATTCCAGAGTATTCCTTGAAGGATAGATTAAGGATAAAGCTAATTAATGCGATACAAAATGCTGAAGGTTTCGGACTCTATTGAATCAATTTCCAAGCAAAACTTTGCAGACAAAGTTAGATTGATATAGAAAAGTGTTTATTAATTACTTCGCACTATTATCTGCCAAATTACACTCTATTTTTTCTGCTGGGGTTTTGGGGTTTTGGGGTTTTGGGGTTTTGGGG